ACAGATTTCAATAAGTGTCACTGTCTTCGACATCCTCCAAAGACTGTTTGAAGTCATGAGATGAAGCATGAACAGTCAGGAGAAGAACAGAATCTCTCTTCATAGAATTGCAGTTATCTATTCCCACTGGTAGAATATGGGGTAGAGAAAAAAATTGCTAATAGACTATTTTTGGTAGTTGTGAAGCAGCCTGCTTGCATTACAGTGAGAAAATGGAAGAAAAGACAATAACCACTAGACCACTAACAACACTGAGAAAGTAAAACTGAGAGAGTGTTACCCTGTGAGCAACATATACCACCTGAATGTCAAAAATAGATAAAACAGATCTGAGGAGATGGGCTTAAATCCTGAAATTTAAGTTGCTGTTGTGGGCTGATCTAATTCATTTCCACACCATAGTTCATTCAGTAAATAGCTGGCTTCATTCAGTGATTAATAGAAAGAAACCAGACCAGAATATAGGCAAAGGAGACAAAAACACAATGGGAAAAAAAAAAAAAGATAAAGTTCATATCAAAGAAAATTTTTCATCAGAGGAATATGTATATAAATAGTTCACTATAGTCTCAAATAAATTATAGACATATCTCATTAATGGTGAGAAACAAAAATATATAATTTCAATAAAGAGGTTATAAAAACAGCAGAAATAAATGGAAAAAATGAAATAGCACAGACCAAGAAAGCAATGGGGAAAAAAATGAAACCAAAATGAAGTTGAAAATTACGTTAGAGGTTGCAACAGAGCATAAACACAACTGAAAACTCACTTGGGTTATGGTTGACACAAGTGAACTACAAATTTAAAAATACAAATATGGCTATTATAAATAGCTATAGAAACAAAGGGGATTTAAAATAATTAGCATTCTGAAAGAAAAAAATTATTTAGACACATAATAGAATAAAACTTGCTTGAAATAAAGATTGAAATCTGGGATAAAAAGAGTCCCCAAAATGACTTGCTTTGATTAAATACTAAATTTCAACAATCTCTTCAGTTTACTCCAGTATTTTTTAAAATATATTTTTATTGATTTCAGAGAAGAAGGGAGAGGAAGAGAGATAGAAACATCAATGATGAGAGAGAATCATTGATTGGCTGCCTCCTGCACATCCCCTACTGGGGACTGAGCTCGAAACCCTGGCATGTACCCTTGACCAGAATCGAACCCTGGACCCTTCAGTCCGCAGGCCGACGCTCTATACACTAAGCCAGTGGTTCTCAACCTTGGCTGCACATTAGAATCACCTGGGAATCTTTTTAAAATCCTGATTTCTGGGCCTCATCCTCCAGAAATTCTGTTTCTTTGTTACTAATGTTGTGGCCCCACCCCATAACAAAGAAACAGAATTTCTGGAGGATGAGGCCCAGAAATCAGGATTTTAAAGAGATTCCCAGGTAATTCCAATGTGCAGCCAAGGTTGAGAACCACTGCACTAAGCCAAACCGGCTAGGGCTACTCCAGTATTTTATCTTAAATTGAGGTAAAGGTAAATTTAAGTTTTTAATTATTTAGCAACAACTTTCATATATGGGATATTGGGCTCCTAAATTATAAAATTCTGCCTTTTATTCAATGTACCATTCTAATATTCTATACAAACACATCTATACAAAAAATATCTGGAGAGATATTCGTTAAATAGTAAATTTTTGGTGGTGAGATTTGAGATTGTTTTTTAATTTCTGCAATACATATATTATTTTTAACAATCATGTATCATTTTTACAAATAACAATGAAGTCATTGATATTTTAAATAAAACAAATGGAAGGCCAATAATAATTGAGAGAGAAAAGAAAAATGAGACATCTCAACTCTTGCAATACCTCTAGAGACTCATGGCCCATCATTCCATAGTTCATACAGCAACCAGGTGATTTATCTAAAACTGAAGCATAGTGTGTTCATTGTCATCTTATTATCCAGCAAGAATTTCAATAGATTGCCGTTAAACTGAAATCAAATCCAAACGTTTTAGTAATTTACACAAAACTATCTCTAATCCGGCCCTACAGGTACTTCCAACATCAACAGCTACCACTTCCCTGCATTCACTTCCCTACCCCCACCCCCCCATTACCCTGAACTATTTATAGTTGGAGTTCCCCTCTAAGTTCCAAATCTATACATCTCTTTTCATGCTTCAGGTGGTGCTAAAATGGTGCATTTGTTGTTTGTCTATTTGTAGGAGTACACAGAGGGGCTAGGATCCCAAATTATTCTATAAATATCAGTAATATCTCTGTGAAGGCTTCCCTGCCATCCCCATCAATTAAGTTATAAAATTGCATGTATCTTTTTTCTACCCTGTATATCAGTGCCATGCCAAGTAATATTAGAGTCCGTTGCAAAAGAAAATATCATTAATACTGATCTCATTTCTATATAAAATTTAGGTATTTGATTCACCCATGAATTTTGATTTTTTTAAATATTATTTTTTAAAATATGTTTTTATTGATTTTTTTAGAGAGAGAGGAAAGGAAAGGGAGAAAGAGAGAAACATCGATAGGTTGTCTCCTGCACGGCCCCTGCTGGGAATCGAGCCCACAACCAGGGCCTGTGCCCTGACCAGGAATGAGCTGGTGACATTTTGGCGCATGGGACAATGCTCAACCAACTGAGCCACATCGGCCAGGGCTAAATATTCTTTCAAAATATTGTTTATCTGCTTATTGTGGTTTTTGGCACCCTCATATTGCTAGGAGAGGGGCACGTAATAGAAATAGAATCACAGTTGTTTAATAGCTACTCAGTAGGAAGAGATTTTCTTACAGACCCTTGGGAAACTGGAGGGTGTATTGCAAGCAGAACAGGCCCTGGAGATAAGGCAGCCACGGAGCCCAGATGAGCCTGTCACTCAAAAGAAAATCCCGATCAAGGACAGGACCTATCTGAAGGGAGACAGTGTTCCGGGCTAATCTTTTCCAGGGCGAGTCTTTGCAAGGAAAATGAAAGAGGGCAGACCCTGGGAACTAACTTTAGAAATTTTCCCTCCAACTACCCATATATAAGGGCTGATTTGAGATGAAATGTCAGAGTGGTCTTTTCAGGCTGTACACCTGCCACTCTCTCAGATAAATGCGCCGCAAGAATTCAACCTTGTCTCTACTTATTTGATGGGCAACAGGAACCTTTGGTCTGGTTTCAAATTTATTTTTGTGCCCAAGGTGAGTGCTCACTCATATTACCCGAGTCTCAGCTCTATTCTATACTACTGTAGCACTTATGGTTCTTTGTCTTCACATATGTCATTGCTACCAGACTGGGACCCCCTGTAAGGAAAGGAACCAGTTTTGTTTATCCATGTACATCTAAAAATCAGCACAGTATCCAACATTACATACAGTTGGAAATCATTTAATTCAGATGAATAAAAACCCAGACAAGAGAAATAACCAAAATTCTTCAGTCTTTATAGAATATAATCTTCCACAGGGAAGAAAATAAATAATCTAAATGGGGAGATTTATTTCTTTTAAGATAAGGAAATGATGCCCTGACCGGTTTGGCTCAGTGGATAGAGCATCGGCCTGCGGACTGAGGGGTCCCGGGTTCAATTCCGGTCAAGGGCATGTACCTTGGTTGCGGGCACATCCCCAGTGGGAGGTGTGCAGGAGGCAGCTGATCGATGTTTCTCTCTCATCGATATTTCAAACTCCCTATCTTCTCCCTTCCTCTTTGTAAAAAATCAATAAAATATATTTTAAAAAAGATAAAGAAATGTTAATATTAAGATAAGGCCCAAGTCATGAGCTAAAAGTAATTAAGCAACGAACTAAAATCAATTCCTTCTCCCCCATAAATATATATTTATGGCACAAAGTATTGAGTGTATCTATTCCAAAAATATAGTCTATCTGAGAACCAGAGAATATTAAAATGGAAAGAAATCTTAGCTATTTTTTAATTTCACCTTCTTTTTGTAAATAGAAAATGAACTTAGAGAGTTTAAATGACATATCTAAAAGCACAATAGAGTAGGCAGAGCCAGAACTTGGAGTCAAGTCGTCCATTTCTCTGCTTGGTACTTTTCCACTAGAGGTTATTCACAAATCTAGAAGAGGGGACACTGGGAAACAGGGGAGTGGAGGGTAGGAACTTTTTCCTAGGTCAGACAGAATCACCAATTCACTGATAAAATAAACCACAAGTTTTATGTATTGCTTGAAACACAGTCACTGCTAAGGAGAGGTGATTGAAAAATGACCTTTTAAAGTTCATTCCAGCCTTATGCTTTTTATCTTTGTCACTAAATTCTCTATGATTCATTTCCTTCTATAAAAGAAGGCGCTTCTACTCTCTGCCTACTCTAATTTAAGATTGGTGAGGTCCAATTTTAAATACACATTATTCATATATTCTGTATTTGAACAAATGCAAGTCATTTTTAACTGTGGATTGACCATGTAAATCAATACTTGATCATGCTTGGAGGAAATTGGAAGTAATTATGTAGCATTTATTGTCCAATTTGGTGTTGAAAGCTAGGATATAGGTATTGGTACTGAATAAAACAATTCTGAATTTTATATAAAAAATAGAGACATACAAGGGCACTATTCTCAGCCAGAATTATTATTCTTCACAAATTGCCAGGACGTTGGGGTCTCATATGACTAATGAGATTTTCTAATGGTGAAAAGTGACTGGTTCTTCACAAGTGTTACATTTAATGTAGCTCTGAGTTATTAGAAAGATAGAAATGATGACCCCCTAGCCCCCCCCCCCAAAAAAAAAATTAGCCTTGCCCTAGCCAGTGTGTCAGTGGTTAGAGTGTCGGCCTGCACAATGAAGTGTCTCCTATTCAATTCCTGGTCAAGGGCACTTACCTTGGTTTCCAGTTCACTCCCCACCCTCCACAACCCCCAACCTCCCCAGCCCCCATCCGGGCACTTTCAGAGGCAACCAGTCCATGTGTCTCTCTCATGTCAAAATTTCTCTTTCTCTCTCTCCCTCTTCCTTTATCCCTTCCATTCTCTCTCAAAAAGGAATGGAAAAAATATCCTCAGGTGGGGATTAACAACAACAACAAATTAGCCTTGAATTAATTTGATGGAATTCAGTTAGGGAAAAGCAAATTATGCATTATTATTATTAACATTGTTTGCATATGAAATAATTCCTTTTTGTACTAATAATTAGACTTTCTGATCGATATATTATTCAAATTAACAATTAAGAATTCTTGGTTAATTTTGCCCTTTCTCTTTATATGGCCACTTTATTTAAAATGTTCTTCATGTGCAAAAGTAAGAAAAATACTATGAGTTCACTTGGATCTCTGCTCTATAAATCTAAAATCATTTATTTTTATCCATTGACCATCTATAAAATTTATAGGAGAAGAATTTATTCTTTAAAAGGGAGGCCAATTAAATACTTCTTAAGAATAAACTAAAAGATAAGCAAGGAGTAAGTTTCTCAGCAAAGAAATAAGGTCATTTCATTAGAAAAACGAACAATCATAGCTTCCTATATTTCAAGCATTGTCCTCAAGGCTAAAAATCTATTTACATTCATGAAATAATGCTTGATAAGTTTTGTGTACAAGAACTCTTTATTAAGTATATACATTTATACAAATTTTACTGGGCCTCATATTACTGGCCTCAATTTGTAAATAAGGGGTTGAGATTGGGTGATTTCTAAAGCATATTTCAGCCTTCAAACTGTTGATTATTTTAAATATCTAAAGAGATAACCAGTAAGGAATTCTCCAACATGACTCACAATTAATATTTGGCATTTGCACATGTTACAGGTCTCATACAAAGTTACTCGAAGGCAATGCAATAACTGAAAAACTAATACAAATTAATATCATTTCTTTTATAAAAAAAAAAATAAGAGATCCTGTTTTCAAAGTGGCCATTTCTTTTCAAATGTTCCCTCAAACATGCAGAACACATTCATTCACAAAAACTAGGTTAGGGAGACAGAGTAGTATAAAATAAAAATTTGGAAGCAATACAACACAAAAAATTGGACCTAGATTTAGCAGCATAAGACAGCTGCCAGAAATTCAATTAACTTGTTAAGCCTACCTAATGAAAAAGAAAAGTCAGTACATGAACATCCTGATAAATTGCATAACAGAGTCAGTGGCATCCTACCCTTGGGCTAGGGTTTTTTCTGTACCCCATTCCTGTGCTATTGCTCTTTTAATTCCAAACATCTCACCTTAGTTATGAAACTATACAGAGCTTCCCCTCCAAATGAACATGAAATTGTCCTGAAATACAGAACTACGGACACAGAAACCTCCCAGAAGTTTAGCATTTCACCAGCTAATACATTTCACCAAATCTATGTTGGGAAAAACATCTAAAAAGCCCTTGTGTTGAGTTCCTAATTCTGATGATTCTGTGATTCTGATCAAATTCTATTATGTGATACTGATCAAATTTCAGACAGGTAATCCATAAGGTCTTACAGTGCCCAGATTGCTACTTTCAGGCGCACAGTGATTTTCAGGTACAGAAAAATCTGTACCACATTTTCATGATATTTTGATGTCAATTGCTGAAGTACTCATGTGTACTTATCTCCAAAGTGGCTATGTGAACAATATACCTGTTTTCTCTATCAATGTGGGAGACAAATATTTTGAATATGTTTTCAGATTCTAGATCATGTATCTTCATTAAAGAATGCACTGGTTTCTGCTAGTTTATGGTTCATTCGCATGCGTTGACTATTCTATTTAAGTAATATTGTAGGCAAAGGTGAAGGAGCTTTCTAGAGAGACAATGTCTAGCATAGTGCCTGGGACACAGTAGGCTCTGAATAAACACACATTGAAGGAGTACAGAACTGAATGAACTACTATCAAAAGAATTAATACAATGAGTTAAACTTTGGCTCAAAGCACAAATTTCCAAGTCAACTGTTAAGTCCTGTTTGGTCAACATATGACAGGGCATGTATTTTCCCTGGTCTCTGTATTTCTTTTTGATGCAGCAGAGGTTTCACTCCATTGGTCAGTATTTGTTTAGTTCCATTTTCCTTTTAAAAATGTTTAATTTAACAGGAAAAGTCCTTTTCTGCAGAAACTAGGTAAGAGGATCTCCAAAGGTCACGGCATATAATATCTGATAAACAATTCTGATTAAGGGCAGTGCCACTGGGAAATTTAGGGTGGTTGGTTGATATTCATAGTGTATATTAAAAAATGCCATAGTCCGTTTTCAAATTTCAATGCATAAATATGCACCACATATTTCTAAGAGCCCTATTTCTCTCGTCCCAACTTTCCAAGATGGTCTGTATTCTGTCTAATTTGAATGCTGAATTGATTCTATTTAAATCATTTTTCTGAAATGAAAATTGGCTCACTTTCTTTTCACTGAGGAATTAATTAACTCTCCCAATAACTGGCTTGAATTTTTTCAAATGGGAAAATTACATAGGATTTTTATTTTAGTAAAGAACAATTGTTTATCTTTAAAAACATTTAAAAAGACATTCTGCATTCAAGTTCATCATATTTTAGGAAACTTCTATAGCAAAAAAAAATTACAGTAGACTTTCTGATTTCTCCATAGTGTCCTTGGATAAATAAACAACCCAATAGACCATGTTAAATGCCCCAAATGTTACTGGAAAGAGAATGCGGGCATACTTGTCTATTTTACTTGTGCCAGATCCAGGAGGTGGTGGGGCAGAAGGAGGAGGAGTGGCTGACAACTTCCCAGAAGCCCCTACGGTATTAACTGTTGTCTTAATTCGCCCCAGTCTTGATCCAAACACATGGTGGGTAAAAGCAGGTCCTGCTGAAGCTTGCGGGGACACATACCCAGTTCTGCTAGGAGTAGAAGAAGCAGATGGTAGTGCTCTTGCAGCAGATATAGTTTCAGCGGCATTTGCATGGCTGAATGGGTTTGGACTGGAAGCTAAGTAAGTCTGTGATGTGGCCTCAGAAGCTGCTTGAACAGTCATGGAAGATCTGCTCGAATGGTTTCCTACCTCGGTTCTGATGCCAACGTCAGATTCAGACTGAACCAAAACATTTGTTCTTTTCCTCATGTTCAGATTGGCATTTGTGTTCTGAAAAGATATAATCAAAATTACATTGGTATGTCATTTTATATAGATTTATGCAAAATTTAAATGGATCAAATCATTAGAACTAGTTGTTTCCATAAAATAGACCTTTATTAATATGCTATAATCAGCTTGATATAAAGGCTTACCAAAAAGAATGTGTACATATCTGAAACTGAATCAAAAATTTTCTTTTTTGAAATTGTTATCCATTCCTATAAATAATTAGGATTTAAATCTATAAAAAGAAGATTAGGCTTTTATGAGCATAAACTAGAGTTATACTTGACTTTAAGGATTCAGGATGATGGCAGTACAACTTATTTGTTCAGTTTTATTGTAAATAATATTCTGTGATATGTTGTGTACATTTCAGTGATTTTTATATAGTTTGCTTTATAAACAAGAAAAACTTTACTTATTCTTGTGCATAGAATAACAATAATAATAACCATCCACATGTGCATGCCATTCTTTAAAAAAAATCCAAAAGCTTTCATTTCTAAGTCCCTGGAATTTATTTTCATACTAGTAGTCTTCTATAAGCAATCATACACAACATTATAAATCCAGAAATCCTAATGCATTTTAGATTTTTACCATAATCAATAATACAAAAACAAAAAAAACAGATTTTAAATAAAATGTTGTATTAGACATATAAACAGGATCACCATTGCATAAATATCTAAGTTCAAATTATTTATGTATAAAAATGTTTCAATAAACATGAAATTCAGTATTTTCCATCAAATTATATTCTGTGTAAAACAAAACTACACTTGAATGAAGATGCATGAAAAGTATTAAAAGTAATGCTCCTTGTATTTTGACAGACATGATAAATAACTGTATAGCCAACTATAGATTGTCCACACTAGTGAAGGAAAGTAATTGCTCAAATTATTCAAATGTCTGTCCTTAGCTATAGTTTGATTGTTTTGCAAAGATGTTTGTTTCTTAATTACATTTATTCTAAGTTATATTAAGGGTAAATAGTAATTGCTTTCTATATACTCTTCCCCTACCATTTCATGAAATAAATGATGGGTGAGAAGATGGAGAAGTAGAAGAGAGACAGAGGAAGAACAGCTCACAAGTGTATGATTCAGAAGCCAGCCTACAAGAAATTTCACAGATATTACATACAATTAATTAATAATCCACTTTACAGAAAAATGGTTGGTCTACAAATATAATCTTTTTTCAATACCACACTCATCAAGCAGGTTAAATGTGTTCAACCCATATTTCATATATTTGTGAATTATGACTTCAAGTTTTCTGAGAAAGAAAATAAGCCTCACAAGGTGAGAGCCATAACAGGATCTGAGAGTCTTCGAGAGCGTTCTTCCTGTCAGCCTGGAGGATTCTTCTAAGTAGATTGCAGTTGAACTCTTGAGAACTTGTCTAACATATGGCATCTAATTTCAGTGGAGACAATTTAAACCAAAATTGACATCAACCTAAAAAGTGAATTATCATAATTTACCCAGAACATTTACTCTACAAAGCACACTGTACACATCACTTAATTAACCCTCAGATTTTGAGTCCCTTTTTTTTTTACACAAAAGGATAACCATTCATTGATTACCTTTAATTCTAAAATGTAATACACATGGTGAAGAATATAAAGAAGTGTAAGGTATATCCACAACATTTAAAAAGCTTACACTATTATTGGTAAGGTAAAATGAATACCCATGCACATGATACAATAAAATATGTAACAAATATACTAAGAAGAGAAGGAAGAGAGTAATAAAAGGACCAATTGGACGAGCAAGAGAGAAATACGTAGTTTCAAATACCGTATAATCTGATATTTTCTTATTGCCTTTTCCACCAAAAGTTAGGTCATATATAATCTTTAGAAACCCATCTTCTTCATAAACATAAACTCTAAGAATTGGATACAGTGGGGCCTTGACTTAAGAGTTTAATTCGTTCTGAGACCGAGCTTGTTAAGGAGCGCGTTAACTCAAATTACTCTATCAACTCAATGCAAAAAATTGGCCGAGAGACAGCAGATATCTCAAAAAACGCGTTAGTCGGGACACTCGTAAGTCAAGTATACTTCCATTTCTGGCCAAAATGGAGCCACAGAGACAGAATTTACTCTCCTGCATGAAGTGACTGGACAAAGCCCCACCCAGGTTGCTCAGTTGGTTGGAGAGTCACTCCCTACCCAAAAAGGTTGTGATTGGATTCCAGGCCAGGCACATACCTAGGAGGCAGGTTTGATCTCCAGATGGGGCAAGTATAGGAGACAACTGGTCAATGTTTATCTCTCCCATCAATGTATTTCTCTCTCTCCACCCCCTCCCCCTTCCCCTCTCTCTCAAATCAATGAACATATCCTTGGGTAAGGATTTAAAAAAGAAAAAAAGGATTTAAACTTAAAATAAAGGAAATATGTGAAATAAAAATTGTTTTTTGAAGAGGCTGGGCACTAGACAACATAGAACCATAATCACTGGGGGGAAAAAAAGGAAAGAAACAACCTTGAGAGAGTCCTATGCTTTGGTGCAGAAAGGGAGAATCTGGGCAAAAGCTGGCAGACTCCCTGAACTGAGGAGATGGAGCTGAGAATCTAGGGAAATCAAGGTGGTTAGCGTTCACAGGAAAAAGTAACAGAGAAGTGTATGCTGAAAAAAGGAGAGAACTCCAAATGTCTGAAGAGTCCCATTGAGTATTTTGCTAAGCACAGATCAGATTAAGGGGGTGGGGAGAATTAACTACCAAAGGCTGCAAGAAGAACCACCTGAAAGGATTAGAAGCAGTACCTGGCATATACTAAACCAGTGGATATGCCTGTTCCCACCAGCCAGACTGGAATATCTCAACATTCAAATAAAATTTGGCAGAGTACTCAGAAGGCATTTGCCTCAGTAATATGAATGACCAACTCCATACACTGATCTAGTCTTGCATAATGAATCTTAAAAGTAAGACCTAAAAAGATGAAACTAATTCTAAGTAACCTAAGTGCACCCCACAAGAAATCACAAGCACATTTATCAGATCTTATCTTCTTTTCCTCTAGATCAATATCCTTCTGGAACTTCCTGAAATCCCAACTGTGAATTATGTTCTAATGGTTGCTTGAATAATTCATCCTCCCTCTTCATATCCACGCCTCACCTTCAGGATCTGGAGCCTATTTTCCTACAGGCTTCCTTATGACTTTCTCTGGCCAACAGTGTGGTGGAAGTGATAGTGTGCACTTCCAGGTCTTCGCCTTAAGAGCCCTGGCTTGCCTCTACTCTCAGAACATTGCCACCATCATAAGAACAGAGGTGGGCTAGCCTGATGGAGAAATCTTTCAGAGCAGAATCAGTCATCCTAGGGAGGTTTATCCTAGAAGCCAATAGCTAACTGATCACTAGACATGTGAGTTTGCTCCAGCTAAGAGACAATGGACTGCCCAGCCAATCCTAATCCAGATCAACAGAACTTTCTAATTCACTCACAGTATTAAAAGCAAAAATAAATTGTTGTATGCTAATTAAGTTTTGTAGTTGTTTGTTATGCAGCATGGTTGTGGCACTAGATAACATATGTAGACCAACTAAACCAAGGGCCCTAAAGGAGGTATTCCCAAAACTCTGGAGAGGAGAAGTTCCCCAGACATTCTGGGATAATTAGAAGGTGGTCCTGCCCAGAATGCATCAAAGACCATTTGTAGACCCAATTGCCCAACTCCACACACTAGTTAAAGGACCAAGATATTTTGCCCTCTATAACCCCATTCTTAAAGAATCACAACATTTTAAAACTGCAAGAGTTTTTTAGTGATCAACTTATTCCAGTTCCTCATTTACAGTAGGGAAAAATCCAAGCAGAAAGGTCATGACTGAATGGAAGGCATACACTGAGTTACTTAACTAAGTGTTCTGCCATATTGTACAGCCTCTTCGTGCACAGATGTGGAGGAGGCATTAAAATACTTAATAAACTACTCCTTTTGAGTCATTCGAGTCAGTCAAGTATATGTAAGTCAATTATATTGTTAAAAATTATTTGAGACTTGGAAGTCAGAAATGAGTACAGCTTGTTCTTTCCATGTCATAATGGAGCATTAATTAACAATTCCATGGAAGGATTATTAAGTTTCTAGGAGAATTTACTTGAGTTTGATTTTGCTATTTAATATTGGATTTGAGCCAAATACTATGAAGTTATATATTAACTTGAAGGCTCTTGTCCAGTAAAAAGACCACCAAAGTTATGATTTTGTTGCCCTGTAGGATGTTAACCACTTCTGTATCTGACATAGCAACCTCATCCTAACATTTACTTTTTTATTTTTTAAAAAACGTATTTTATTGATTTTTTACAGAGAAGAAGGGAAAGGGATAGAGAGTTAGAAACATCGATGAGAGAGATCGATCAGCTGCCTCCTGCACACCCCCTACTGGGGATGTGCCCACAACCAAGGTACATTCCCTTGACCAGAATTGAACCCAGGACCCCTCAGTCCGCAGGCTGATGCTCTATCCACTGAGCCAAACCAGTTCGGCAACATTTATTTTTTTAAAGTTACTTGTAGTTATTACTCATAAATATTTTGAACCCATTTTATCGTTTAAGTGGTTCTCTCATTAATTAATGAGTTGAACATTACTTTGCCTTAATTAATGTCCATTCAATATTTGTTTGCAATGTTTTTGAAAATTTGAAAATTATATTCTGACAACATCTATAATTAGACAAATTATAATCTATACTAATAATAGAGGAATATGCAAATTGTCCAGGACACTGTCACAGTAACAGTAACAACCGAACAGCAGGCTGTGTGGGTTGACCAGGCCAGCAGGGGTGTTAGTGAGGGATGACCAAAAGACTAAACAAGCAGGCTGCATGGGGTGACCAGGCTGGCAGGGGGGGGGGGCGGGGGGGGCAGTTAGGGGCAATCAGGCCAGCAGGCAGAGATGGTTAGGGGTGATCAGGATGTTGGGGGGGGGCAGTTAGGGGCGATCAGGCAGGCAGGCTAG